CTCTAAATGTTATGCTCTAGCTTTCTGATCACATACTTTTACGTGTATATTATCATCTATATTATCTCATGCATGCTTGCCAACACATTCATGTATCGAAACATTGCTTTTCACGCATTAGCGGGATTATCATGTACCTGTGGCCATTATTGTCTCCTCAGTAATTGTATATATCCGACTGTTAATTTTAAATGTCACTTTTCGCTACCTTGTCATAGGCGATTTTTGGGGACACTTACAATTTTCTAATTGGTTTAGTCGTTAATTTGCTTTCCGGATTTTCCCTATACTAAGAAAGGCGCTTTGGTTTCTTCGCCAGGCTATTACATTCCCCCCGGCTGTCCTTGGCTTGTTGTCCTCTCCGACGTCCGCGCAGTGAGTGAGTGAGTTAGTTTAGTTTTACGCCGCGCTGAGCAATATTCCGGCTATATGGCGGCGGTTTGTAAATGCTCGAGTCTGGACCAGACAATCCAGTCATCAACAGCATCAGCATCGATCTACGCACCTTGGGAACCGATGATATGTGTCAAGATCCCGTTAAGTCAGCAAGCATGAGTCTGACCACCCTGATCCACGTTAGTCGCCTCTTCTGACCACGATCCCGTTAGTCGCCTCTTACGACAAGCATGGGTTACTGAAGGTCCATTCTAACCCGGACCTTCACGGGTGGTCCGCGCAGACCTGTGTAAAATTCATGTACAAATCTTGTGTCTTTAATCTGACCATGCTTCTTGTTGGTCATTCGAAACTCTGGTTTCGTTAGTAAGCGGTTATGGGGCAGAATTCTCTCGGTCGTGAGTTACTCTTGTAGTATTGAGATAACCCTAGTTACTATTGGGAGTCAATGTTCTCCCTTGGTCTACTAACTTAAGTACCTAGTTATGAATACTCAATGTCATTTCAGAAACATATGTTATATTTGGGATTGTACATTCTCATTTAAGACGACACAGTTAAAACGGCGTATAAGCTTGACGTGTGATGAGTGAGTGAGTGAGTGAATAAGGTTTAACATCGTAAAGTGCTGTTGCCTGGCTCTAAGAGTGTCGGTTCGAGTCTCTGATGGGACTCAACGCCCCAAGAGTACTAAAATCTGCACTTTACTTGTAAAGTGTAATCCTAAATATAACACATGTTACAAGTACCCGGTAATGGGATATTTAGGATTTGCTCAGTCAGAAGGACTGAGTCTTAAGTGTATAAGACTATTTTGCTATTCAGGCGTTTCATGCCTACTTTAATTCCCAAGAGATTTATTTTCGATATAGGCCCATAATGTATATTTCCCCTTCTTGTTAAACCTATTTATTCACTCATTAGAACGTTGAGTTAACTAACTCTCAGATGGTAATGTGTCACAGAAGACTGTATTGATTTAGGTACTCTCTGTTCATTGAATGCTTGAAAACAAATATGTTCTTCATAGGGTAAACATGTATATATCGTTTTTATGAATTATGTTATATTTTGATATGGCTTACTATGTTTTAAAATTCTCTCATAACCTTTTATGGTGGCATTATAATTTTACCAAAGGCAAAATTGTTTTGCTTTTCTGTAAATGTATTGGGTAAGAATATAATAAACAATTGTGTACTTTAGTTAAACAGTATACATACAATGTGTTAGTAAAGGTAGACACGTGAAAAGTGTCATCTTTATCTATATCAATATTATGTGATTGTGTTTGATATTTGTTCCAACTGCCTCTCTTACTCTCTCTCTCTCTCTCTCTCTCTAGCTCTTTCTCTCCTCCTCTCTCTCTCTGTAGCTCTTTCTCTCCTCCTCCCTCCCCCCTCTCTCTCTCTCTCTCTAGCTCCTTCTCTCCTCTCTCCTCTCTCTCTCTCTCTCTCTCTCTCTCTAGCTCTTTCTCTCCTCCTCTCTCTAGCTCTTTCTCTCCTCCTCCTCCCCTCTCTCTCTCTCTCTAGCTCCTTCTCTCCTCTCTCTCTCTCTCTCTAACTCTTTCTCTCCTCCTCTCTCTCTCTCTAGCTCTTTCTCTCCTCCTCCCTCCCCCTCTCTCTCTCTCTCTAGCTCTTTCTCTCCTCCTCCCTCCCTCTCTCTCTCTAGCTCCTTCTCTCCCCTCTCTCTCTCTCTCTCTCTCTCTCTGTTCATTACTCATAAACAGTAACTAATTAGCTTGTATATTTACTCTCAGTTTATTATCAGTGATCTTTGTCAGGATAAATAGGGTTTTTCATCGTATATTTTGTCGTCTATGGATATAATTGATAATGATAAAACTGTGTTATTAGTTATTACCTATTTGTCTTTAAGAACAACGTGGTCCAAGGAACATATGTTAGTGACAACTGAAGTTATTGAATTCACGTCGTATTACATAAAGCGGATTTGCGAATGGGACCAGATCTAGAAAACACTGAATGAAACAGAGACCTACTTCTGACACATAGTGCTGCGTCGAGAGCGAAGTATTATGCAGGCGGATTTGTCAGTCTACTGCTCTATGTTAATAATATTAATGAAGGTACTTATACCGCGCAATACTCCACACCACAAAGGGGCATGCTCAAAGCGTAAACAAGCAGCACAACATTATTACCCAGGATTGTCATATAACTTATCCCATCGGGTATCCATTTTCTGCTGGGTGAACAGAGGCAATTTTGAACAAACCCACTTGCCTAAGTTGACCACATGTATCACATGTGTTTCGTTGTGGGGCAGGACTGAAGTCCTAGAAACTCTCGGGAGTCAAGCTGCCAAACACTATCACCCACCCAAGGGCTCTCCGAGCTCAACGTTGCTTTACTTCAACTGATTTGTGACCTGAGCTCTGTGCACAGGACCTAGACTAACAACTAGTCTCTGAAATGAACATATTTTACTGAAAAAAGTTCAAAGTAAAAAAATATATATATATAATGAAAAGGAGCCCTGAGACTTTCTTCATTTTCAGAGCTGAGGAAATCTAGACTTGCCACATTTTCTAGACTTGCGTGGGCTTTCTTGGATATATTTGCTTCAGGGTCTGTACGATAGACTACACAGGACCATGCGCCATCAACATTCCCAACAGCTGAAACCCGGCCTATCCCGTCTTGTGTAAAGTACACCAATGTCACGGTGACCTGAATGTCATTGTACCCAGGCGCGCTCACGTGTGAACATCTGTGGCGACCGCTCACTCGTATCCGTGGGGAGGAGTAAATTTAGACAACCATCCTCAAAATACAGTTGAGTAAACAGCAACCTATTGTTACAAATACACTCATGAAATTTGTCCTCGAAATTTGTTGACGTACGTGTTTGTTTAGGACATTGCAATGTTATTATTAGTTACAGTTTAACGTCATTTAAGGACGGTCAAGGTTATTGCACCAAATTGGCGAGGTGCGTGTGTGTAGCATGTTGTACTAGACCGGATTATTGTCAGTTTTATAGTGGAAGCCCATAGTTTAACATGGATACACCAGTGAGGCACAGTGTGCAAAGGGGCGGGCGGTGGTGTTGCCTGGTGGTTAAAGCATTCGCTGGTCACGCCTGAAGACCCGGGTTCGATTCCCCACATGGGTACAATGTGTGAAGCCCGTATATTATTATTATTATAGGATATTTTATAGCGCATATACCCACGCAACTAGTGCATGCTGAATGCGCTGGTACTTTTTCCCTCGATCATTGGATGTCAATCTCAACGGGACATCGTATTATCAATCTCAACTCCCTGGGGAGTATACAACTCTTGCAGCCACTAGGCGCACCGAGTTATTCTGGCTTTCCCATCCTAGCGAGGTACCCATTCACAGTTTGGTGGACTGAGGCACATAGTCACAGTACTTTGTCCAAGTTTACTGCACGTTGCTGTACCCGCAACTGGGTGTTTGCACGTATTCGTGTGGCCACCATCTGGTCATCTACCAACGGATTCGTGGGTTCTTTTAAGTAAACAGGATTGTGTACTGTACGCTAGGGGTTGTGACAACACTGAAAGAGTCTGCACACAAAGTTCACTCCAAGGTTTTTTTACACCCTGTCAGAGGTAGTCTCGATCCCGACACTTCAACCTCGCTGGATCACTAGCCTGGCGCCTTAGCCAGCTCGCCCACCGCGCCCCCTGGTCACAGGTGGACTCGATCCCGACACTTCAACCTCGCTGGATCACTAGCCTGGCGCCTTAGCCAGCTCGCCCACCGCGCCCCCTGGTCACAGGTGGGCTCGATCCCGACACTTCAACCTCGCTGGATCACCAGCCTGGCGCCTAAGCCAGCTCGCCCACCGCGCCCCCTGGTCACAGGTGGGCTCGATCCCGACACCTCAACCTCGCTGGATCACTAGCCTGGCGCCTTAGCCAGCTCGCCCACCGCGCCCCCTGGTCACAGGTGGGCTCGATCCCGACCCCTCAACCTCGCTGGATCACTAGCCTGGCGCCTTTGACAGCTCGCCCACCGCGCCCCCTGGTCACAGGTGGGCTCGATCCCGACACCTCAGCACATCTCTGGATCACTAGCCTGGCGCCTTAGACAGCTCGCCCACCGCGCCCCCTGGTGTCCCCCGCCGTGAAATTGCTGGAATAGCGCTAAAAGCGGCGTAAAACTAAACTCACTCACTCACTCACTCACTCTCAGTTGTAATCTCGGTCGACCAGTTCTTGTTTTAACCCCTAAATATTGAGCCCCAGGCGGGGTTACAACAAAAAGCATCTTTCAACGTCTTTTCGAACTACCTAAAATCAGAGCAGACACTCTATCTGCAGGACCAATGAGGCAGTAAAACAACAGAAATAGATACGACACAATGTAATGAGATGTGTGACAACAACATCTCTTGTTATGGATATAGAGTCAGGCCTCGTTAATACGAACACTTTGGTTTATTTAAAAAACGTTCGGATAGTGAAACGTTCGTACTGCTGAAACCACAGTATATGCACCGAGTTACTTCCCCTTGATATCTTTCCTTACTATCGATACGTGAAGAAATCAAAACAAAACATCAAAGACAATCACTGGATTTATTACACATTGTTACACTCACACATTTTACTTACAAAAGTAGTCTTTAATGGTGGGCTGCGTCAAAGGTTGTTTTAAAGAATTGAGCATGTCCATTGCTTTATCTGCATTTTCGATGTCACCCTGGCACTCGTAGTACGTAATGATGTTACCGAGGTACAGTCTCATGTCTGTTAAAGACGGAAGGGTGACAGTGTCTTCTGCTTCTTCTTCTTCACTTTCAATCTGATCATCTGCAGCTGTCACCATCTCTATGATGTTCTCTGAAGTCAGCGAATCACAAGTTTCTTCGTTGGCATCGGCATCGATGAAATCATCAGGCGACATGTTTTCATCATCAGACGGGAGGCGTTGAAGTAGCTTTTTCAAGTCGGCAAGCACGATATCATCTTCGAGATCATCAGTTTCACCAATCTGGGATTCTTGCCTTGGCAGAATTTCGACATGCTTGAAACAGTTCTTGATCGTCTGACAGGAAACATCTGCCCATGCAGATTTCACGAATCGCAAGGCTTCTCTTAAGTTTATACACTGGGGTTTGTCGTCTTCAGCACATGCGATGAAATGTCTCACTAATGATCTCTTGTAATAAGCTTTCAATGTCCGAATAATACCAGCATCAAGTGGTTGAATCCGGGATGTAGTGTTGGGAGGAAGAAAGTGAACTTTGACATTTGTCAACTTCACATGTTTGCAATTGTGGCTGGCTGCATTGTCCACGAGAAGTATCACGCAACGGCCACGTGACCTACACTGTCTATCAAAAGTTCTCAGCCAATCACTGAACATGTCAGAGGTCATCCACGCCTTCTTGTTGAAACGGTACCGAGCATAGATTTCTGGATTGAAGTCTTTCCCAAAACAGCGTGGTCGTCGAAATTTCCCTATCATGAAGGGTTTCACTTTGATGGTACCTGTTGCATTGCAGCATAATGCAACTGTCACTCTTTCTTTCGACTTCTTCACACCAGGTGTTTTCTTAGAGGCAAGTGTGTGATTGGGTCCCAGCTTATAAAACAAGCCGGTCTCGTCAAGATTAAAGATGTCGTCTTCCTCGTAATTTTTCAAGACTGATTTCAATTCTTCTCTACCTTTAACTACTTCATTCTTATCAGCACTGGCAGCTTCCCCCTGATAATTTTGTTTCTTAATTTGATGACGAGATTTGAAGCGGTAAAGCCAACCGCGAGAATAACCAAAATCATTGATTCCTAATTTTGAGTCCAATTCCATGCCTTTCTCAGTTAACATTTGGTCATTTACTGAAGCATTTTTTGTGTTCATTTCTATCATCCAAAGATAAAGTGCTTCCTCTAATTTGGCATGTTTAGCATTTCGTTCTCTTGTGAGAGATAGAGAATCTTCCGAAATATTTAGCCACTTATCCTTACTTTTCCAAATGTCCGAAACAATGTCGTACAGACAGGTGATCACGTCAAGAACTATCGTCATTTTACGTCGTTGCTTGAAACCAGAGTCTTATTCAGGTAACTCATGTGTTTTACGCCACAGGAATGTTCGTAAGTTCTTAAAACGCTTCCGCCTAGGCCTTAATTCTGTCCATTCCCCAATGTCAGCACCCTTCCTCCCTAGAACAAAGTGGTGTACCCCCCTTAAATTTTCACCCCCACCCCCGAATCCTAAATTTATTAAAGCTCCCTCAGTCACTGAATACATATTATTCTAATAGAAACAAATAATCCCTTTTAAATTGAATAGGAGTTCCAGTGAGACGATGAACGACTTGCTTTATTTAGGGCTATGACAATAATGTAGAAAGGATGATTAGGCGGAACAGAAAATAGTGCTGTTCAGGGACCAGGAGACGATGAGCGACTTGCTTTATTTAGGGCTATGACAATAATGTAGAAAGGATGGTTAGGCGGAACAGAAAATAGTGCTGTTTAGGGACCAGGAGACGATGAACGACTTGCTTTATTTAGGGCTGTGACATGCATCACTTCATCCCTGACTACACAGACGACATCCAGCTATATAAACTCTCTCTCTCTCTCTCTCTCTCTCTCTCTCTCTCTCTCTCTCTCTCTCTCTCTCTCTCTCTCTCTCTCTCTCTCTCTCTCTCTGTTGGCTGTTTATCTTGAAGATGGAAGCCGTTCACCGTGATATCCTGAGGAAGAATCACTCCGGTCTAGTGCAAGCTATAAAGCACGTAGAAGAGGTGGTGGACAAACTGATGCAGTTTAAAGTCCTTACCATCTTCATGAAGGCAGTGATTATCGAAAAATCACAAACCTCTTTTGACCGGGTGAGAGCTTTATTAGATACCCTTCCCCAGCGAGGACCCCAAGCTTACACCCTCTTCTGTAAAGCTTTGGAGGAATGCGAGATACAAGCCATGACTTTGCTGGGACTAGAGACAGACAGGACAGAGTATCCTCATGGTCATGATGATCTAGGTGGGTACCTATGTATGGACAGTATCCCTCTCAGACCTCGAACACAGTTCCAAGAACGGCTGAATTCCTTTCAGTCTTGGCCTGTGCAGATGAAACAGAGTCCTAGTCAAATGGGCCAGGCAGGATTTGTGTACTTAATCAGAGGGGACGCTTACAAGTGTGTTCAATGTGGTGTTGTTCTCAAGAACTGGGACGTAGAGGATGATAGAGTGTGGAGGCTGCGAGTGTAATTCACCATGCCTCAAGGGCGCGCGCTCTGAGATAACAGATGTTCTCCACAGGCCACAGAAAAGGTTATTGAGTATGGAAAATAGAAACATTTTGTAAAAGGACAAAATGATAACTTCAACTGACTGTCAGAGGGATTTTGGTTAGATAAGATTGAAACCGGATGAAACTAGTTTGTGGTCAGTGGTCAGGTGAGTCCGATAGTTGTTCTACGCTGATTGGTCCAAACTAATGGCGTGATGTGATGGTGTGATGCTTTGATGTGTTTCCCAGGGGGCGCGCGGTCATTGACCCCCCAGTCAGCGTGAGTCACACCGGAGTGAATGTAATAGTTGCTGATTGGCCCAAAATAATGGCGTGATGCCATGGTGTGATGCTGTGATTTGACGCCGGATCCTACGGTCATTGACACCCCTGTGAAATGAGGTCAGCCCTATACAACACTTACTATTTTTTCTTCATCAGTTTCAGTCCATTTAAAAAAAAAAAAAAAAGTAGTCCCGGTTATCCGACGAAACCAATATCAATGAGTATAGATACAAAATAGCGGTAAAAAGTGTGTGATTAGACTGCTGAATATTAGTGATGAAAAGGAAGAAAGAAAAAATAAGAAGCATGCCCCACCCAAACGAAGGGTTATCCGTGTATAACAATTTGCATAAACACGTTTATGTTTATTTTCCCTCAGCAGTACTCCTACCATGTGACGGCAGAGTGCACACGACAATCACGTGACGGGCCATGAAATCGTGTCACACGATAGCTCTTTAAGTGATTTTGAAACTAAACACGATCTGTCAATTTTGAATTATGTCTACCGCGTATAGCTAAAAAGTGTTTACTGCTTGAAAGTTGAAAACATATTTAGGAAATCTTTTTTTAAGTTATAATTTTGTTGTTTAGTCAAGAAGAAAGAATTAAAAGCAATTTATTTTAAGGTGAAATTGGGGGAAGAACTGTTCTACTGGGAGTGAAAAACAATACGAATGAATCTGTCATGAAACTGACCCAACCATATTTTACAGTAAAAATATACTTACATGAGAAAGTTTTACATTTTGTGATGAAAAAGAACATTCGATAATTAGAGTAAGACGTTTGTTTTCAAGATATTATTATAACTGGATTATACAAAATCATTTTTTTTTCCCCCAGCTGTAGGATTCTTCATGCACTGCTTTAAGTCAGTGGTTTGACTTTTCCGACCACGATAATATATTGACAGCCTTTATAAAGCATTTCTGACTTTTGCATTAATATATACACTTATGTATTGTAAAAGGATGTTCTTTGTCTGAAATAACAGGCGCACGGAGGACACCTGCCTCCGAGGCTTGATCTTTTCTAACGGCTGCGCATGCATACATCGTGATTACAACACGTGGGGCATGCTTTTAACACGGGTGTAGCACAAGGAGTGCGTATCACACCACTGTTAACAGTGTTATTCATCGTTCAGTTTTCTTTCGGTGCTGTTGCAAAGCATTTGCTGTCTACAGGCGTGCGTCACACGTGTTTCCGTTGGACTTTCAACCATCTATTATTCATACATTGATACACCTCATTTATCTGCAATGTGGTTTTATTTTTGTTTTATCGTAATATGATGACCGCGTTATTATCTCAATGTCAAATTGACAATTGAATAGCAACTGTCATCTTGTAGAAATATTACAAACATGATATGTGCAACTTACTGTTTAAAACGATATTTTGATACGATACTTAATTTGTACTCATTAATAGAGAAAACTCGATCGGGTTCCAGTACTGAAGATTTATCCAATTTTGTGTGGATAAATTCATGTGAGTTAACTCGTGTAAAAGGTAAATAACATGGTGGTTCCGTCCACTAGATTGATACATATTCATCTGATGTCTTTATATAGCCTGATTTATATTCACTATAATAGGAACAAATAATTGGTGTTTTTCAGACCCATGTATATTTCTGCATCTGACGGTTGTAGGTGAACATTTAAAACATAAACGAATAATTTTAACGCAAGCGTTTAATAATTGTCAAAACGACACATAATATTTTTATATATATTCTTTTCTTTAACGAGTGAAGTTGACCAAATCGGTTTTGATCTCATTTACAGTTGCAGATATTCTATGACCCGCGTAAAATGCATGTAAGAGAGTATTACTTCCTTTCGAAATAACGGCATAGGTTTTCACAAATGCATTGCTTTGGCAATTATTTTTACATGCATATAAGATCAAAATATTTATTTGGGTATAGCTTTTAACTAATTTTGAACTTATTTCTCGAACTTCCGCTGAACGCGGATTTGTAGTTGGTGTGTGGGTATGTCCTTCCACACATGCTTTCTCAAACATACCCTCCCCCCATCACCACCCCATCCCCTTTCTCCTCGCCTGCTTCTCCACGCGTGTAACACTAGACATCCACGGCCGTCCACCGAGCCGAATGACCAATCACCAGCTCGGTTAACAATTCGAGGTATCAAACGCATCACTCGTGGCTCGGGTTGATAATGAACCTTCGTTCACATATGTTCAGTCAGCCAGTTCACTCATGGTATAATTTCACGCACTTATAAACCCTCACCCTGACTGTTGTCAAATCAGTATCCATGACATTGCCGTCAGAGTAACGTTCTTACTCAGCATTTTAGGTATTCAACAAAGTTCTCCTTTAAGGAGTAACGTTTTCTTTAAGTACAGTTATCCCCAAAGTGAGTTTTCCTGCATTGCTATGCGCCTGTCTTTGTTCCTTGAAGCACTGTTCATCCTTGGGCTGTTGGCCACCTGGGAAGGTAAGGATTTATGAAATATTTAACTTTGTGAGCATAAAGTGAGTTAATTTGTCTTCAACGCACCCTATAACCTTAATGTGTACGCACCCTGTAATGTCATTGCAGCTTTGGGCACGATACCTTGCAAGATTGCATGTAGTTTATTGGCGGTTGCAGATGTTTGTTGTATGAACTGAAACAAATATATGCTGCTCACTGAAACAATCAGAGAGCTTCCTGTCGTATATATTATTAATACACTCATTATTATAATGCAATGTCCATCAGGCTGTGTAACCATATATACACATGTGCTGGATTAGGTTCCGGCGGTGTCGAATGCATGTAGTTTTATGGTGATTAGAAGATGTCTGCAGAATGGTTTTCTTTGTAATAATATAAATACCACGAAAAGCTGCAATCACGAAGTGACGTTTATGTTAGACTTTCCCATACATTACGCTTATTATTAAGATATAATGTCCACATGCTTGCGTAATCATACACACACACGTGGCGAATCCGGGTCCGGTTGGGGTCACGTGAGGTCGGGTTAGGTTAAGAAGGTTATGTAATTTGCAAAGTAGAACGATCACCTCTCCGTCATAAGCATGGTACATGCGAATGTGTCGATCGTATTGGCCAAACAATGTGCGGTATTTAACAGAAGCTTAGAAACTCAAACATGCGGAACAGACATTAGCTGTGTTGCAATAACTGTCAGTATTAGCACATCCGGCAACCAACAACAAGAAACGTGTTCATTAAGTTGGGTTAAGTTTGGTTTTACCCCACGTTCATGAGTGTTGTCCACGGTGACATGTTGTACATTTGTCACACTAAAGCTTACTTTCTGAATATAGTTTTCTATAGGAACAGGAAATAGTGCTGTTTAGGGACCAGGAGACGATGAACGACTTGCTTTATTTAGGGCTATAACAATAATGTAGAAAGGATGATTAGGCTGAACAGAAAATAGTGTTGTTTAGGGACCAGGAGACGATGAACGACTTGCTTTATTTAGGGCTATGACAATAATGTAGAAAGGATGATTAGGCTGAACAGAAAATAGTGCTGTTTAGGGACCAGGAGACGATGAACGACTTGCTTTATTTAGGGCTATGACAATAATGTAGAAAGGATGATTAGGCTGAACAGAAAATAGTGCTGTTTAGGGACCAGGAGACGATGAACGACTTGCTTTATTTAGGGCTATGACAATAATGTTGAAAGGATGATTAGGCGGAACAGAAAATAGTGCTCTTCAGGGACCAGGAGACAGATTACACACGTGTGGGTGTATGGGTGTGGGTATGTCGGCGTGTGAGAGCAAGTGCAAGCTACCATACCGCACTTTATCGTGGATTCGCCGTTCAAACACATTATACTCACTCTGAACTGACAATTTGCTATAAAACATCAATCATTTGTAATCTCGACTATTTTTATATTGATTTTGTGTGTATGTTAGTTATATATTCTGTTCAAATGGTATTTTCCTGTGTCAATTCTGTAACGTTATCAGTGATGAATTTCATTTTATGTATATTTGCCCTATTCATGACAACCCAAGAAACAATTGTTTACCACAATGGCCCTTATCTTATGTCAATGTTAAAATACTCTCTTTCTTATTGTCGTGCAAGGAACCAGCAAGCGAAGGAGCCCCAGTCAAATGTGGATACGGCATTCAAACACATTATGCTCACTCCGAACTGACAATTTGCTCTAATAAAAGTTCAATCCTTTGTAAACTCAACTATTTTTATCGAATTTGTGTGTGTACAATTATGTATTCTGTTCAAATGGTATTTTTCCATGTTCTTCAGTGTTGATATAATTGTAATTAATGAATAATTGAACACGTTGTTTTCAACGAATACTACTTTTAAAGATCATATTTTTAACCCATTTACTGAAAAAATTGCACACTTAAATATATTTCGTTTTAACAAAATTGTTTTTGTAATATTTTATGTTGTAGTCAAGTGATTTCGCTACAAATTAATGTTTAAATGTGTTTAATATAAAAAAAAAACAACTGTTTTAAGAGCAATTTTTCAGGGTTTCTCAAACCCGAAAATGTTAATTTCATAATCATAGCGACGCAATAATTTGGCAACTCGTATTGGTATATTCACTTATAGTCATAGCGATCTGTCCACGAGTGTAAAGTATCTCAGTCCATGTCCCATACGGTCTTATCACCTCTCAAGTGGTATAACCAGATTTGCTATCATGTTTATATGAATACTTATCTAACAGTTATCTGATAATTGACACGTGACAAAACTCAACGGTCACGTTTTGGTTGTGTACGTGATTAAGATCAGTTGTTAGCTGCAGTTACGGTGGCGATTCTTTTTCGTTTTTCATTTTTCTTTATGGGGAAGGGGTATTTTTCACTTGCGTGTTTTTCTGTGTTGGCGGGGAATGGGGAAAGTGATGGTTCTGGATAGGGATTATCACGATAATTAAAGGTTTGAGGTTTAGTTTGTTTTTGGTAGGGTGGATTCAAGCTGGTACGTTGCCTATTTTGAGAGTGTTTGTGTTTGATACGAAAGTAACATGTGAAAGTAAAAGTGTTATTACTGCTAAACAACTTCGTGATGTTCACTCTTTAGAAAGCAGTTACATTAAGTTACTCATCCAATTCTTTCTTACGTTCATTTTAAGTATTCTGCGATTTAAGACTATTAGATTCATGTCCGGATAGGAGAGCTGCAATACCCGGATTCATGAATCACTTTTGATCTTTTGATCATGTCGATGTTTAAAATTGATATTTGCAACAAAATCACAACCCTTTTTTTTGCATTATTGTCTTGCCCTTTAAATTCCACGTGTGTCATGTTCCCCTTACTTTCCAGCGTACGCCACTGATTGCCCAGGGGGCTTGATACCGGCCGGCCTGACCTTTGGTGTTAATGACGTCAGTGAAGGACAAGCCCTATTCTGGTTGAACGTGGGTCGATCCCGCTTCGGGTACAAGCCAAACCATTACTACAAATGTAAGCCTAGCACACACACCCTTAACTATCAATATTGCAATACTGTGAACGTCCAAACAAATTACCAATAGAAATTCCTATGTAATTAGATAAGTCAATGTCAGTTCTTGTCGAACGAATTCAAATGTGTGTCGTGGGGGTTAACATTGGCGGATCCAGGGGGGGTCGACCCCCCCCTTTCGAAAATGACTTAAGGCCCCATTGAAGATTTTGTTTGCGTTGGCGGAGCCAATGGGGGGGTGTGGGGTGTGTTCGGGACACACACACACACACACACACACACACACACACACACACACACACACACACACACACACACACAGAGAGAGAGAGACACACACACACACACACACACACCATTTCAAATTTTTTGGATCCGCCCATGGCTTTTATGGTTGAATATTACTGTGGTCGGCCATGAATACACGGGTATGGTTTTTCATTTGATTCAGTGGACATCACGAGCCAGGACGCCGACTTTCCATTCAGCGAAGCCTTCTTGTCCCTTGAGGAGGAGGACCCCTCCCGTGGATGTGGAACTGGCTACTTCAAGTTCGATACTCCCCACCTGTACCGATACAAAGACTGCCAAAACGTTCTGCTCACGAGCAAGAAAGAACCTATGACTGAGCTACCTCCTGTTATGTGGCGAGCGCCGGAATGTGGATGTGTTCTTGTAAAGTAAGATTATCAATTTTTCTCTGCGGATTATTATCATTAATCTTTACACCCACGAATTCATAGTAGTAGAGTTTAGGAAGATCATGATCCAAATTGCTTCGAAACCTGGTTTGCCACGGTTGTTTTTCTAGGTTTGCCAGTAACCCACCATGATTGGGGGTTTACCAAAGGTAAACGTCTAAACCCCGCATCACACTGACTGGGGTGGTATAACTGAAGTACTGTGCATGGCGGCTGATGCTCTCTACTCACAATACCCATACTTCTGAACCCGTCCCTCAATCGTCTTTGAGCAAATTCTCAAAATACAGTCAAATACTACTGAATCGAAGTTAACGTGTTGAATACACGGTTGTCTCGAAGTAAAAGCTTGTTCTTGGCGTAATACTTCTTTATAAGTCGAACTGCGGATATCTCGAATAAGATTACTTCAATACAAAGATGGTTGACTTTATAAACGACTACCATGAGCGATGAATATGATGATGTTAATGTTTATCCGCATTTTGAGATTGTTTTATACTTTCAAGAATCAAGATCACTTTTTAACAAATGCATCATTGGTTTTAGTGCAACAGTTATTAGCAACGGTTCGACCTACTATATGGATCACACACCTTCCGGCTTCCTCTCAAAGCGACTTTGCCCAAGACAGAATCGACGTGGTAGGTGACAAAAACGAAAGGACAAAACCCTTTACACATCCATAATAATCTCTGCTATAAACTAATTTCTATGCTTCAACATTGGCGTAAATTAACATTGCACTTCGGAATTGGAAGCAGGGTGCATTAAAAATTGTGTAACTTCAAAAGGTGTTTACAGTCCGTTTTGGCTGTTCTCATCACTCATTAAAATACCACCTATTGCCTCAACAACAATTTAGAGTAACGGATTTGGCAAGATGAGAGTCAAGTTAACGTACTTTCTATTCTTTAAAGAATACATTTAAGTTGTTGCCGTACATGTCACTGGTTTTTATCCCGTTTATGTTTAAGCGAATAATGTGCGTTTGTGTTTTAGCGTCGCGAACCAAACATACAAGACCAGTAAAGACTGAGTTACCCACGACGACCACAACTACTACAACTACTACCACGCCCACACCGACACCTACACAGCAGAAAAAGGTAATCTTACAGTTACGTCAGGTGATCATAGTTAATGTCAAAGAACCTTCCACAAAGCCAACATTGCACTACGATTAGATGAACATCTTTACCCACACTTACCATAGCCGTAAGTGCCGTTTATCGAAAACGGCTTCTGTGATTAAACACAACATTCCATGGGCTTAGGGTGAGTGAGTAAAAAAGCTGAATGCAATTTATTGTGGGGTAACTTGTTTGAGAGGCATTTAGAAGTTTTGGCAGTAAGGAAGGATAACAATATATGGATGAACAACTTCAAAGTATTGGCAGCGAGATTTCCGATATTGGATAACACAGCAATAAAAATGTTGTTCATCCATAAATTGTTATCCTTCCTTATTATGGGGTATTCAAAACCGTCTGGAATCGAAATATGGTATTTGGTGTAGCATGACGCTTCACCTAGCAGGCCCTACAATATGTGCCACTGTTCTTGAGAAATGCCATCATTGCTATCACTGACTTTTTTGTTGTGGATATGTCACTTAAAGTAACAGTACTGACGGTATGTTTAAATATATTGATTAATCAAAGTGCTAATGTTCGATATCTTTCAATAGATATTCTGGTGACACTTTTGTATCTATCAATGGTTGGGATATAGTTAGTCAAACAGACGATTACGACCTTCAGTAATCACCTTAAACATCTATACAAAAAACAAAAAATAAACATTCTGAGTATTGTCATTATCCTCTACAGTTGAGCCGAGCAGAGAGAATGGACTTATTGTGTCAGATATCGCTCCATTTCAACGGCGCGGAGTTGTTAGCCAGGGAAGTTTTCCTACGGAGAAGGCAGATAACAAGACTCGACCTCACCAGTTTGACCCGGACGGAACTGGCTCTTGACCAGCGCAAACTGGATATCCATGAATGTTGCAAGATCGTGGTAAGACGATTGACAATCAAATGAAATCAATGATTGGGATTCAGATAATATTGTTCATTTTATCAGTGACACCAGATAAGAAAAAATATGTCATTTATTCCATATCAAAGTTATAGTTAGCATATTGCAATTACGTCGAGGTAACATGTTGCAATGCAAGAAACTCATCCCCAAAGAAAAAGGGGAAAATTTGTTGAACACCGCACTCAGCAATATTCCACGATGACATGTGTCAACCAAATCAGCGAGCTTGACCACCCGATCCCGTTAGTCGCCTCTTACGATAAGCATGGATTGCTGTAGAGCAGTCTAACCCTGAATAGTTCCTGAAGTGACAGCCCAACCCTTTGACTCAGTTCAACATGTATGAATGTTTGGTCTTTCAGAGCACTACCAAGAAGACGCGGTGCTTTGACCACATGCGACGTCGGCGTATCGACCGTTTCTGCAGAAATGGACATCCGGACGTCCCCTTTACCGCCAGACGGGATATCTTCATGAGGGAAAAAGAGGAAAGGTGTTGCTGGAGACTGGGTATGTTGACGTTCAATATTCTCATAACCATCTTACCCTATGTAGCAAAATATCAGATGTCGAAATTTGTCCTATGTTTTTTAAATGGTATTTGCGTGGGTTAAACACTGTTGAATCAACAGTCATTAATGAACCAAAATATCTAGCCGGTTTAAATACTTAATGTGTTGAAATAATAACGAAACATACGATTGTCCCAGCCCCAGGCACATAAAACTGGTGTACATTCTCTCATATGTTAATACTTATCTTGCTGGTTTATTGTTTAACGCCGCACTCAGCAATAGTACAGCTGTATGGCGGCAGTCTGTAAATAATCGAGTCTGGACCAGACAATCCAGTGATCAGCATCATGAGTATCGATCGACTCAATTATTTTTTATAGGATACGATGACATGTGTCAACCAAGTCAGCCAGCCTGACCCCCCGATCCCGTTCTTTGCCCCTCACCAGCATGCGTTGTTGAAGATCAATTCTATTGCTGAAGATCAATTCTAACCTTTGTTACCACTGTTAATACTGCATGTGAAAATACTCAATACCGTATTCTACAGGGGAATCTCGTTACCACTGCTTTGCGCACAACTCGATTTTCAAGTCCGTCAGCGGACAGAACTTCGTGGACTACTCCCTGGACGAAATGGATCCTGTCAACGACATCGGGGACTACCCTTCTGAAATACAAGAAGTAGAAATGGTAAGAAGTTATAATGGCAGTTGGTAATTACACATACCTCATGAAAATGATGTTTTGTGAAGCTGTCTAGGTGTTTAGGGGCGGTGGATTAGCCTAAAGATTAATGGTTAGTCGTAAAGTCTGCATTTGGCAGGTAGTTCTTTTCAAAATGTAAAAGATTTTGTAGCTTTTGACTCCACACCTCCTCCATAATAGTTTAATCAACCCACAGCAACACAACACCGACTACTTTGTGGATGATGCAACGAAGGAAGTTGTCGTTAAGGGACGTGAAACTGTCTCCTACACCATGTCAACCAGGCCGTCGTCGTCTACAACCACGGCTACAACAACAGCTAAGGCGCGTGCTGAAAGAACTAAAGAGCCCCAAGTCACCAGGAAGTCTAATCCGGCGAAGTCATCAACATTCAGCAGCGTCTTGACGACGTTCCACGTAGGCACACAGTCGACGTTAAATCCTCGGTTGCTGCGATATCTGCTGTGGACGCCGAGCTGCATGGTAAATACTAAAGGTCAACGTATGAGTGAGTGAATGATGTTAGTTTTACGCCGCCTTTAGCAACATTCCAGCAATATCACGGCGGAGGACCGTCAACGTAAGAGTGAGAGAGTGAGTTTGGTTTTACGCCGCTTTTAGCAATATTCCAGCAATATCAAGGGGCACCAGAAATGGGCTTCACACATTGTTCCCATGTGGGGAATCGAACCTGGGTCTTCAGCGTGACGAGCGAACGCTTTAACCACTAGGCTACCCCACCGCCCCATCAACGTAAGAGAATAACCAGTCTTGAGTCCACTTGGTGTAAAGGGCAAAGTTGCCGTGAAAACCATTTGAACGAACCACTGAAACTCAGCGCTGGCATAAGATGTTTGCAAAAAGTTAATTAAGCTATAACAAAATATGTTTGGGAACCGCAGAAACGTAATGGACATTCTGGAAATACACATTTTGCTGTATATGCTTGTATTTGGCAACAAATACAACGAAAACAGAACTATTGTGTCATTTATCCGTTGTCGACGTTCCTCTAGGTTAAAAAGGACGTGGTAACACTGCTTGCACATAGGACTGGTTCAATAACCCAATGGTTCACTAAGTACTAACAATAAGTCATATATAATGCATAAGAGCCCACACCCTAGTTAATGCTCATGGGAATATATAGTTATTACCATTGTCAAAGAAGCCGTTAAAGTTTCATTCACAGCCAAGTCGAATATATTCTCCCTGGGGAGTTTACAATATCTACATAACATCAATCACTCATGAGAATCTTTTCTTGCATTGTCTGTGCGGTGCAATCCAATACTGCAGAGTAGAGTAGAGTAATTTAATATATATATATATATATATATATATATATATATATATATATATATATATATATATATATATAGAAAGTGATGAGAATACCAGAGCGTACAGTAGTACATATATAAGAAGAAGCTTCTGAAATAATCACACGACACGGAGAAGATCCGTGTCGTGTGATTATTTCAGAAACTTCTTCATATATATATATATATATATAAGCGGCAAGTAAAGAACGAAACATGTTGGAGAAAACGGCATTCTGTTTATATATATATATATATATATATATATATATATATATATTTCATTGAATTTAACCACTGTAATGTATTATGGTCCATTGTTTCAGCTTTAAGAAAAAGGAAGCAAAAACTGGACCTGAAACTTGCCTGTTGTAGTCAAGGAAAAGATGCGGGTCAAGTTTTTGAAGTTTTGACAGGACTATATAACCACTGTCGCCATCAATGGAAGAAGTACCGGAAAAGCCTGAAGACAGGGAAAAACCTGTGCATGAACAAATTCATGGAATGCTGCGTTGACGAAGCTGGAATGTAAGTGTATTCAACGAACATAAATTGCATTTTGACATTAGAAATTTGAATACAATCCTATAGACCGAACCTCAATGTTGATCAAAGTAAACTACACTTTCTGGACAGAAAATTGAAAGGTAACGAGCGGCAATTGTAATAGAGTGTAGTGGAACAAAACGTGTACGAAGAATCTAGGTATTATTTAAGTGTTGTAAGTTGCCACTAATGTTGGAAGTTATTTTGTTTAGTAACTTCGATATAATGACAGGGATTATTAATATATCTGAATCAAACTACTCTCTTATTTTGTTTAGTAACTTCGATATAATGACAGGGATTATTAATATATCTGAATCAAACTACTCTCTTATTTTGTTTAGTAACTTCGATATAATGACAGGGATTATTAATATATCTGAATGAAACTACTCTCTTATTTTGTTTAGTAACTTCGATATAATGACAGGGATTATAAATATATCTGAATCAAACTACTCTCTTATTTCAGACACAAAAACCACGACGTCACTATTACTAAAACATTCTATTTTGAAATTCGCATTCCTTCAAATCATGATGCCCATACAAACTTTATTAGAAACTCGCGAATTGTTGAAAGTGATGTTTTGAAAGCCATGCAGGACTTAAGTCAGAAAGTGAAAAAATACAAAGTGCATGAAATGTTACGTTTAAATAATAAATCAAGTCAACCTTTTCCAATTTTGATTTCTACCAATATTTCCAAAATGCCAGAAAAGCAGAATCACTCAGATCGAAAGAAAAACATGAAAACAGATAATGTAAGAAAGGTCTCCGAAATTGATGTAGATGTATATCAAACTAGTGAAACCAACATGATCCCAACGTTTAATCGTGAAACCAATGTCATTTCCTCCTTGCCTCGTGACACCATGGTCAAACATGACAGCACACTCATCGGGATTATCATTCCACCTATGATCTCTGGTAACCACAGTAACCAGGAAATGAACCACATTCTAGGTATGAAATATATTCATTGTAAGTGTATAACTATCACTGCTGAAATATATATCACCTAAACCTTTATATTTCTTCCGCAATAGTTTTTAAGTGTAGGAATTGAAAATCTGGAAACACTTTCAGTACACATACTGTGTGCTCCTTCCCGGATAGGAGTGGTGGGGTAGCCTTGTGGTTAAAACGTTCGCTCGTCACACTGAAGACCCGGGTTCGATTCCTGACACGGGTACACTGTGTGAAGGCCATTCCTGGTGTTGCCCGTCGTGATATTGCTGGAATATTGCTGAAAGCGGCGTAAAACTAAACTCAGTCATTCCTACCCGGGTCCATTCGCACACATTCAGGCGATGGTTTGTTTGTTCAGGATTCGAACTAGCGAGTCAGATTCCAATCTGTAATTTAAAGTGACGGCATATACGGTAACAAATAAATATTTTGATCATACAATGGGGTTTGATGACCTTCTGAAACGTATTTTAGCTTCATACATATACTTTCCTGTAACTGAATCTAACAATGAAAGGCTTACTGAAGGATAATATTATTGCATTTTACTCGCATTACCCTATCGTGCTATATCTAACTAACATTTGCTTAGACTAACATATATTGTACTCGGCAACTAATTCGACTATAGTTGGAAGTTTCAAACTTTGCTTAATTCAGCGTACTACCTTTGTGTATAAAGTAAAGAACGCTTGGATACACTGGAGAGGGAAAATTATGTTTAGGATATTTTCATTCAGTATTGATAAGCCCACAAAGAAAGATTGAAACGAGTCAATGTATAAGAGACAGACGACAAGATGAGGCTCTATTTCAATACATTTATATTATCTGCTATCGCCAACTAACATCTGCAATGTACTCTGCTTCTATGGATATATTATCATGTATTACATATACAGTATATAATGAAATGACCAGTTACTTGACGGTTACAACATTCAGTTGAAAACAGCTACAATTATAAGATTGACCAAATGATTAAATGACAAAAACGAAATAGAAAGTAAACAATTAACTGCGGCTGGCCTAAGAAAGAGATTATATTTATTTTGCAGACAGTTCAGTTCTGAGGCTGACAATAATTATGTTCATCAACCACGATCAAATTCAGAAATATTTCCAGACCTTTTTATCACTTCGAAGTTTCGATTTTTGTTTAAGGTTCAAGATTTTAATATATGCTACGATTCAATTCCAGGTCCTCAACACAAGCAGCACCGACGCAGTCGTTTCGCGGCCATTCAACTGCGCAAGCGACATCGAAGACATTACTACAAGCAACACCGAGCCAAAAATAGTTGGAGGTAACTCACAACGCTCCATACCAAAAGGCAAGGGTCGTCCCTTGAGAGGGGAATCAAAAGCAACCAACCGACCAACTGGAACCAATCCTACCATCCATACCCAATCGCCCTCCACCCAACAAGTAACTTCTAGTCAACCAGCCTTTCAGCCATATTCAACACCTGCTCCAGAAATGACGTTAGGTAGTTCATCTGTCACGACGGAAGCTCTTACCCGCATGGTTAAAGCAGAGAGGACTGGCGGGTTTGATGAAAGCGATAAAGACGATGCAGGTGATGCAGAATCCGAGGAGGCTGAGACACGTGGCCAAGAGGACGACACAGACAAAGACGATGACGATGATGACGAAGAAGAGAAAGAAAGTGGCAGACGTGAATCAGAAAACAATAAGGGAGTGACTTCAAATGTTTCAAAGAATCTCAGAAGCAGTCGTGGACCTTCCCGGTCACAGAAACGGACTTCTTCATTACGGTCGCTGGTCAAACAGAAACGTGTTTCGAGGCATAACGTTAGAAAATCAAAACCTGATTCTGGAACACAACCGTTGAAACCAAGCTCAAAGTCAAGAAAAAACAGAAATCATAGGCGAAGGCACAGGAGAAAGCGACCACACTCTCACCACAAGAAGTTAGACTAATCCACTATATATATCATTCAATATTTAAGATCTTGTTTTCAAGAGACTGGACGAACTTGATCCGCCTCATTTCATAGCTTTGTGTTCTTGCCATTAACAAAACGTTAACCTAACGGACATGGGGTAGCACAGTGGGTACAGTGTTTGCTCTCAAAGCCACGACCCCGAGTTCTATTCCCAGAAAGGGTACACCGTTTAGAGACGTTATTGGTGTCCGTATTCAGTCACATCGCTGCAATAATGTGGTTCGTGTAAAGCGTATTTCACGAATGGCCAACCAACGATTCATGTCGTCACAGTTCAAGATTGTTTCATCAGACGCCCTCATTCATATGGACACATCATCAACTTCATGCACCCATCACCTCCTTTGTATGCATTTTGAAAGACATTAACGATCTCTGTGTCAATATTTGGAAGACAGCTGTGTGGTTCAACACTGCTGTTTCATTGCTTGGGTTTCCAAGTATGTATCACAAATTGTGAAAATGAACTGAACTGAATGTTTGCAATGTTATGAATGAGCTTTGTGTATATATATATCGAGTATTTTTTGATAAAACACTGTTTTGTTATTTATATTTTCAATAAAACTATTTGAGCTTCCATTTGTTTGAGGTATATTGATATAGATTCCGGTTTGATCTCTACAAAGGACAACCACCGGAATGTGAAAGACAAATTATTGAACGCATGAATCAATACTGACAGACTGACATTTAATCGTAATCGTGTATAAATTTCACCAGATCACATCTATTTTACATCAACATATATACTTCCCATCAAAAGTTTAGACTCACTTAAAACACTCCTCTGTATGTATGTGTGTGGTATATATATATATGGTTACTGTTCAGATTGACTGTGTGAAGATCACTGTGTCTCTTTGTGTGTGGTTAATATATAAGATCAATTTGTCCAACTTTTATTAGCAAAGGATCATTTGCATCAAACTGCTGAAAAGCATGTGCAAAATATCGTGCATGTAAACAGCTGCGTTTTGGTGTACAGTTTTGTTAAGAATTCACCAATTTTCACTGATTTTTTATCATTTATTGAACTCATGATAATCATCGTTTCACCGTTACGAATGTGTTTTACAATACATCAGTTCATGTGTAAAGAGTACCTGAAGTAAGTGGCTATATTTACACTATTTACACTAGTGAGGCCAAACTTTTGATGGGTAGTATAGATTAAGCTGTGGTTTTACCATGTTTTGTTTGTTGCTCAACGCCACATTCGGCATCATTCCTGTTACATGACAGCGGTATGTAAATACCTGAGTCTGGATCAGACAATCCCTTGATTGATCATGATCTTCAATCTGTGTCTCATCCGGAAGTACATTTTCTCGACCCATTTAATCGATATGAAATTATATCATATATTTAATTATTTAATCTCCAACAAAGACTTGGGTTGAATGACCTAATGATCATGTTAACTATGAATCTCATGCAGCAACCTTTAGGAAATCCGACACTTGACAAAATCAGACACAGTGGGGTTTTTTAAAACAAATTCCATCACAGGTGTGCTGATTTTGTAAAGAACATATGGCCAGCCATATCATTTATTATCAACATTATTATTTACTGAACCGCAAAAGAAACGTCACCTTTCAAAACCAAATGCAAAATCTTGTTCTTACAATGTGATCGACCTAAAAAGGCAGACGTGGTAAAAGGTTCCGTATGACATTCGTGAAAATGCACGTGCATATCGTGACAACCCTACCAATGAAAGCGAGTCCCAAACTCGCCTGAAATCATTCTTGTTTTGACATAATCGCCATGCCATGACTTACGAGAGATCAGAAACAGCACGCCAGACCATTGGGACTCCACAACAGACCCATTAGTGTCGATACAGTGCGTCGACGTTTGAAACCTCTGCTGTCACGGACCATATCGTGGTCCTGTCGTCACCGATCGTCCCCGCCCAAACCACAATGGGCAACACAGCATCGAAATTGGCATTATCGACAATGGAGAACTGTCCTTTTGTTTGATGAAAACTGATATTGTGCTTCGACAGCCGATATCAGAGTGAGAGTATGGCGAAAGCTTGGGGAACGGTTTTCCAATGAGTGTATTGTTGAAAGAGACTCGTAGGGTGGTCCAAGCATCATGGTGTGGGTTGCAATCGGTCTGAACCAGAGAGTTGACCACGTGGTGTTCCAGAATCTCGGTCCAGGACGAGCAAATGGCGTGACAGCTGCTCGCTTTATTGACCAAATCGTAAGACCCCCACGTTGTACCAGATTTTGGACGTGACAGAAATCACATCTTCCAGCAAGACAACGCTCGTGCCCACACTGCCAGAGCAACATTGGACTTCCTATGACAACATGGCATCCAAACTCCACAATGGCCTGCACTCAGTCCGGATTTAAGTCCAACAGAACACCTTTGGGACGAGATTCAAAGAAGACTGAGTGACCTCCAACCTAGGCCGACAACTGCGGCTGGACTCGATCAGGCATTTCCCAGAGTATGGACCCAAGTGCCTATGCCCTTCATCAACCGGCTAATTCATTCCATGTGCAGACGAAGCAACGCCAGCATCGATGCCCATGGAGACCACACACGATATTGACTAATGGCATCCTAATGGTACCATTTTGGGTGCTTTTGTTTGTGTGAACTCTAAATGTGATCCCCGAATTTGTGTTAACCATAACTGTCGATTTTGACCTCAATCCTCCGTTTTGATTTTTGATTAGAGCGAATTGAAGTGTGTGCTTTAAGAAACCTCTATTGGTGTGGCGTTTCTTTTACGTTCAGTATATCTTCGCAAATGATATTCCATGATTTCTTGGTTGATAGACAATTTTCGTTCTGTAATCAGAAACCCCTACAGACAACAAGCATCAGGTATTAGAAAAAGTACACAGCATTTCAATATGCATTAAATTTGAAATTGTCCATGTTTTTCGTTTTGGTCTAACGGTAGATGTTTGTTCAGGAAGGATAGAGATTGATCCTGGATGTTTCCTCAGGTATAGAATAGTCTTTAGTCTCATCTTCATGACATTAAATTCATTTCTTTTAAATATTAATTTCTCTTACAAAGCCGTTGTGTTGGAATAAAAAGATAACATTTATTAATATTCATACCAAGGTTCGCAACAGAAATCAATCAAGCAATGATCAGTCATGATCGATTTTTCGACGGGTTAGACAAAAGCTTACTGATGTGTTGCTGGAAATGAGCATTAACGATCCCCCGAGACTGTAGTCAGACAACATTGTTCAGAGATGATACAAGTGCCTTTGACCGTCAAGAAGGGTCCTGCAAGGACGTATTTATTTCGTTGGTCTCCGGATTAATTATACTAACGTGGATATGTACAGTATAGGGCACGTGAAAACGTTGTAGACGTTTAGAGACGTTCTTTCAGAAATGCCTGCCTTAATTACCAAGAGTTCTTTACTGCTAGTAATTCTTCTGTATTCCGATGGTGATGCAGACTTGGAGACCGATTTTTACGCAGCTGGCATAGAGAAATGTAGACAGTTGGACATTAAGAGAAGTGATTCTCTTTATCCTGAGGACGTTGTTAAAACGACGAAGATGTCAAACTACTTCTCCTGCTGCGCTTTGTGCTCCTATCAGGAGGGATGTCATTACTTCCGGTGGGAAGCGTCCGAACGTACATGCTCTCTCCTCAGTAACAACACAAGCCATGATATGAAAAAGTGTTCGGTAAGATTATGTTAATTTCAAAATGTTGTGACGTTCTAATATATTTCCTGTTTAATATATACTGAATAATTTGAATAAGGACTGGCTTAAACAAAAAGCCCTTAAGTCATTGTCGAAACACCTTTATCATCTGGTTCTAGTTGTTGTTATGTCTCACGTTGCATCTTAAGTTACAGCAAGACCAACAATTCTGTGGATATCATTATTACTCTGGATACTCACCCAAGACATAATTCTGAAACTTCACCTTTGTTGGAGTGAATTGAATATTCCCATCTCTGTCTTTAATGCTACAATCACTGTTTTTACATTATATTGTTTTGTACTGGCATTCCTTTTCGTATTGTTTGTAGGGATTTGTATTTATTTAGTTATACATCACAATCACAATTTCGAGATTAAAATTATATTGTCTAACATGGTGTGAAACTAACAATCACTATGGCGTTGACTGCCATGTGTAAGCCAACCTTCTACAAAACATGTATTTATGCTCAAAACAGTCTGAAAAGGTCGAACTGGCCAAATATTTCGAACTTGCTTTAGTATGCTTAAGGTCGATGTCAAGAAAATGTTCATCACATTCCTGGCTGAGGAACATATTTTGGATGTTGCTGCTGGAAATTGAACCTGGGGGAAAAAAGAAGAAAGAGGGTTTCAGATGAAAAAATTAGAAATTCAAGGTGACTAAAAATAAGTTGAGACACATTGATCTGCAAAATCGGGATATATCTTTCAAGACAGAAGATACTTGTTCCCCCTTTTTCTGATTTTGATGTTGAAAAGCATTTTGGATTTGGAAAAGGTGACAACAGTTCGTTTAGTGAGTGAGAGAGGGAGGGAATACTCAACGTCACATCGGCGATATTTCAGCCATAGAACAGCCACTTGGACAAATTTGACGTTGTTTGTTGAGTATTGCCGTGTAACTGAAATCATGATCGGTGTTAACCAAATATTCCACGGAAATTAATGGATTATTTTTTGTTTTGTTACCTTACCTTAATGTATAATTCATTGTATTGATAATGTGGCTTCAGTGATAACGTACAATGTCTGATACCCATTTGTTCCCAACACTGGATTTGGTAAATGTATCCTTTGTTTCAGTATCCAGCACACTTTGGATGTCTCATGAGTCCTTGTGGTTATCAAGAGGTGTATATCCCAGTACAGGCTGGGCGGGCCTACTTGTGTCTCAAAGGTAATTGATCATTTTATAACAATATTGATTCAGTAATGGCCACAAATGGACAGTTCAGACCGTTCTTACCACTGCCACAAAGGGTGAACATTTAGTGATGTGTCAACTGCTGTTGCATCAATAACACTATGTTTCTGTGTATATTCGGGCCGGGTCCGTGGAGTAGTGGTTAGCGTCCGCCCAGAGAGCGGAAGATCGCGGGTTCGATTCTCGGCCGCTTCATACCAAAAGATGTTAAAATATGGTTTGGTTCCCCGCTTGGCGCTCGGCATTAACGGGTACAACAAGGACTGGTCAGCTCGGAGTCAGTGTAATGTGTCAGAGTGGGGTAGTCATGCTTCACTGCTTCATGGTATCTCAGTGAGCTAGCACTATAAAACCAACTACGGCAGGGCTAGTACAAGTAGCCACATATACACACACATGCACGTCGTCATATGAGCAAAATATTCTTAATAAAACATTAAACCCAATTTCATCTTCCAATTTCCGGATCTTCACGGGTAGAAGACTAGAAAGCAGATACCTATAGTATGACCAGAAATTATTGCGAATTTTAGGAATATGATTAATTGGATTTCTAGTATAAACAACCTTGGCCAGCTATCAAGTGCTTGGTTTCATTCAAGAGAGACAACTCCGTTAATCCTTTTTCATTAGTTTGTGAAGAGTTATCCCCTTTGTTTACTTGCTAGCAGACGACATTTTCAGTGATCCTCAGTATGGATGATTTAGAGAAGAGGAAGTTGATTTTAGAGTTTTATAACAAGGACATCAGATCAGCTAAAGTGATTTCAAGTAGAACAGGCATCCTTTTGTCCACTGTTGATCGTGTTTTGAAAAATATTGCAAATGGATATGGCATTGAGCACCAGGGAGGCGCAAGTAGGCCAAGAAAATTGACTGTCGGTGACAGGAGGCGGCTTGGTATTCTTGTTTCTAAAAACCAACGAAGGAGTTGAGAAAACGTAAGGCTGGATATGATTGATAGAGGAACTGTGTCTGTCTGTAAGGAGACAATTAGAACTAAGCTGCATGCAATGGGTTGGCAGAAAAGTCGAGGAATTCCATCACCGATCATGAAACCTGAACAAAAGGAGCGAAGGTTGAACTGGTGCTTACAGCATAGAAATTTTAACTGGGACAATGTGATTTTCTCAGATGAAAGTTCTGTGTGGCTGTTTCCTAATACACTGAAATTCTGGACCAAACAAACTGAAAAACCTTTGTATCAGCGCCCAAAGTACAGTCTGAAATTTAACGTGTGGGGTGGCATACATGTGTTAGGGGCAACGCCCCTCTGTGTATTTGAAGGGGAATATGAACAGTGAGCGGTACACAGATATTCTCGAGGGACATTTACTTCCATCTGCTCTATGGAAAATTTTTGATTTTCCAGCAGGACAACGACCCAAAACATCGTTCAAAGCATTCATAGGCCTGGTTTCGGACCCAAAATATGACATTATTAGATTGGCCAAGCTATAGCCCTGACCTAAATCCAATAGAAAACGTTTGGGGACTTATGAAGGAAAGTGTCAATAAGAAAAATCTGACAAATATTGCTGAAATGAAAGAAGAGGTGGTCCGATATTGGGACAGCATGGACCACGACTTTCTAACTTATTTGATCAGTAGTATGCCCCGCCGCATTGAAGCCTGCATTGCTGCCCATGGTGACTTGACAAAATACTAACTGTTCACCTGTCTTTGAATCTGGAGTTATGTTCTGCTAATATTCACATTTAATACGTGAGTAATGAGTGATTTTTTATAAAAAAAATTACGATCTTAAATTCTCAATAATTTCTGGTTGTACTGTATATACTCGTGTTCCTCACATTACGGAAGTTGCCATCGATACATTTTCACCCTTTATGTTACCATTTCTAAATGGCATGCAAAGACGTTGCACAATGGTCATATAACACGGACTGCGAGGAAAGGAAACAATATTTCGGGAAAAAAGCAATTGGCATCCTAAATATACACATGGTGAGCGTCACTGATTGACGCCATCCAAGGATATGTATATCAACATTAATTGAGACCTGTAGTGTAACATGTAAGTTCTTGTAAGATTTAGTAATTCTTGTAAGATAATGTAGTGATACAGCTGCAGATTTGTAACCCTCATCCAATAACTTCTCCAGCACCGGTGAAGATCCGGGTTAGAACTGGTCTTCAGCAACCCATGCTTGTCGTAAGAGGCGACTGACGGGATCGGATGGTCAGGCTCAATGACTTGGTTGACACATGTCATCATATCCCAAATGCGTAGATCGATGATATGAGGTTGATCATTGGATGCTTTCGTCCAGACTCGATTATTTACAGACGGCCGCCATATATACCATTCACATTTTGCTAAGGATCAAATCATGGATTCAACAGAAAACTATGATGTGGGGTCAAATTTTGTTTAAATATCTAAGCTTATTGTAAGCATGTACCCTAGGTTTCAGTATGTCACTGCATCTTGTGGAACCCATATCTGCCACTGACAGGTATTGTGTACTGACAGGTGTTCCATGATTTGCAAAATGGTTGATTGGTGCCATGACAACCATTTTTATGGTTACCCATGTATCAAGTGCATATGATTAGATTAAAGTGAGTGTTTGCCTAAAGAGGGGTTACCATATCAGTATTTATCCAGTTTTAAATGGATATAATTTTAAATTATGAATTTAAATAAAGTAAAGTTTAAGTAAATAAAGTAAAGATGTGATTTTTTTGTGATCCTTAGCAAAGTGTGAGTAGTATAGTTGGAATATTGCTGAGTGCGTCGTTAATCTACAAACTATCAAACAATCCTTCTCCAGCTCGCAAAGACCTCGGCTCTCCCTGCTACTCTGTACAGGACTGTGGCGGCGGTCTTCACTGGGAGTGTACCGGTGGTAGATGTCGCTGCCGCCTTGGATACCTACACTCCATGTCTCATCGCCACTGTCAGAGAGGTGAGTCATCAGCAAGGATTTACACCGTTTAACTTAACATTGCAATTGCCCTTTCCGATAACTCGGTTATGCCCCTTTGTTACTCAAGGGGAGTTATCTCTTACGGTAAACAGGCATAATGAGAACACGTGTTACGAAACCGTTTTCAAGAGATGTGAAATTCACCATTTTGACATGACAATATATGTTCGGTGTTTGTACGTTTGACTTGGCTGTGCATGTGTTTATGACAGATTTGCATGCGCTTTGTGTATTTGGAAATATTGGGCTACAAAATATATGAAAATACATTTTGTTTGTTGTTGAACACCAGCTATATGATGAGTAAAATAACTGAATCTGGACCCAATAATCCAAGAATCGAAGTATGATGAAAAGCAAACCATTAAATCACCAAGCCTATCCGCCCAATCCATTTGGTGGCTTATTACAAGCATCATGGCCGGATCAGGATCTAGTTTTACAGTATATGGGGCGGTAGGGTAGCCCAGTGGTTAAAGCGTTCGCTCGTCACGCCGACGGCCCGAGTTCGATTCACCCATAGAGTGTGTGAAGCCCATTTCTGGTGGTATTGCTAAAAGCAGCGTAAAACTTAACTCACTCACTCTTACCCTGTATCCCCAATCAAGGGAGATATCTGTTAAGAGTGTTTCTAGTTCCTCACTGAGCAGTTTGTTCTTTACATCTCAATCTTAATCGAAGTTAAAGAAAGCTCGACATGTTCAATTTCTTCGTCAAAACTCTTTGAAAGACAAGGCACACAGGTTGTTCCTGCATCACCATGCCCTTCAGTTGTAATTGTGTCCCCTTTGTCGACAGATTTTCTACTAAAACATTCTCTGCCATTAACGCATGATCTGTTTTAGTCACGGCATGGCTGAAATATTGCTGATATGACCATAGATTTGAACTCACTCACTCACTCTCTGTAATTATATCCTCATGAATAAGTTACAAAGCAGAACAATGAGGAGGTCGCTTATTATAATAATGTTATAATGGCAATCATTTAAAAAGGGCTTATATCCAATGTGGAACTGCTCAAAAGCGTTGGTGTCCATGAATCTTCTTTTATGTTTTGTTGCGAAAGATCTGTCACCATAACTTATGGTTCTGTATTTGTGCACTTTAAGCAGATGTTCAGAGGCAGATCGCAGGATGCGGGGAGGTTCTTATGGCTGAACCAGATCACAGATGTAGGCTGGAGCAAGATGATTAACTGCTTTGTAGACAATAGTAAATACTATTATTAATAGTTTGAAAGTAATTCTGCTCTCAACGGGCAACCAATGTAGGGACTTTAAGAGCGGAGTGACATGTTCGTATTTGCTTGCTCGATGAGCTTGATTTCTTTGAAATACACAATGCCATTTAGATCTCTTGATTTCTTGAGGACTAACACGTTGTATTTTTTCAGAATGTGACGTCCCCAGTAGCGTGTTCGAGGCCTACAACGATACGGGAGTAGGAGGGTTCAATTTGATGAGCCTCAGGAATATCCAATCCGTCAACGACTGCCTCCCTGAATGTGTCAACCTCTCGGCCGTATGTCGCCATGTTGAACACGGTTGGGCATCAGCGAAGTGTTTCCTGTCCGACAAGGCTTGGTTCGATGTCCCCGAAGGAAACCAACTTCTTTATGATCCAGGATACGCACTCTATCTGAGGCAGTGTGTCTGATCCGCAGGGGCGGTGGGGTAGCCTAGTGGTTAAAGTGTTGGCTCGTGACGCCGAAGACCCGAGTTCGAATCCCCACATGGGTACAATGTGTGAAGCCCTTTTCTGGTGTCCCCCGCCGTGATGTTGCTGGAATATTGCTAAAAGCGGCGTAAAACCAAACTCAGTCAGTCAGTCAGTCAGTCAGTCTGATCCGCTAAAATATTAACATCGTTTTATGTTGGTTTCCATTTAATGAAACCTTCAATTGCAAATTCCAGGAATGGAAACCAACAAGAAACCTATAACCTTAGTTTCTTGTTGGTTTCCATTTACAGAAATGCAAAAATCAAAGAATCCAATATGGAATCTAGTTGGAAACTCAGTTACTCAGTTTCAGTGAATGGAAACCAACTGGATTCCTCAATTACCCACTGTACGGATGGTTTCCAGGTTTCAGGAAACCAAGTCATTTCTGTAGTGTCACTGTATCAGTTCCGCTTTACTCAGACGCTGTTAGTTTAAACACTATTGTCACTGTTTCTACAGGGAATGAGGAATATCTTGTATAAAAATGTGACTCGATTTTGACCGATTAGTTTTCTATAATCTATCACGAGTGATTTGTATTAAAACTGATTCTTTAAAAATATGTTGAGGATGTTATTTTTTTATGCCGGGAATTTGACTGTTTTGACGACTGTATGGAGCTGTAATATTAATGCGTCATTAATAAGATTCGACTGTTTGGAGCTGTAACATGTAACATCATAACTACCATTCGACTGTTTGGAGATGTAATACAAAGCGTCATAAATCCGAAGCGACTGTTTTGGAGCTGTAATACATAGTGTCAAAACTACCACTTGACTGTTTGGAGCTGAAATATAAAGCGTCATCAATACGGTTCGACTGTTTGAAGCTGAAATATAAAGCGTCATCAATTCGATTCGACGGTTTGGAGATGTAATATAAAGCGTCATAAATACGATTCGACCGTTTGGATCTGTAATATAAATCGTCATGAATTCGATTCGACCGTTTGGAGCTGAAATATAAAGCATCATAAATACAATTCGTCTACATCTGAGCAAAAGCGACAAAGACATTTTTCACAATATTCATAAACAATCAGACAATCTTTAGAATGTACAAATGTACACTCAGGCCCGAGTGCTGTTTAACGCTACACTCAGCAATATGCCAGCTATATGGCGGTGGTCTGTAAATAATCGAGTCTGGAACAGACAATCCAGTGATCGACAGCATGAACATCGATCTAGGCAATTGGGATAAGAGGCATGTGTCAATCAAGTCCATGAGCCTGACCACCCGATACCGTTAGTCGCCTCTTCTGACAAGCATGGGTTGCTGAAGACCAATTCACAAGTTTAAGTAAACAACATGCAAAAAAACCGAATTTCCATCTCTGCGTACTGGAGAAAGACTCAATTGTATGTAGGCCCAGGTCAATCTGATAAGATACACAACACTGTGATGGCATCTCTCCTGGATATGCATTTTGTTGAACAAATAAAACCAAGGTAAACTGATGGGAATGTCAGCACGACTGGCTGTAAGTGAATTATGTTTTTCAGGTTTTTACAGCATAGCTGTTGATTTAGTTATGTATTATCTTTTACGATCTGGAAATGTCCTACCACTTAGAGTATGGTGAATTATTGATGAAGAACAATGGCACGATGGAAGGGTACACCTGAAACCCTCAGTCTGCATCTACTACATGGAGTGAGACGATGGAAGGATCAGTCTGCATCTACAACATGAAGTGAGACGATAGAAGGGTACACCTGAATCCTGTCTGCATCTACTACATGGAGTGAGACGTTGAAAGGGTACACCTCCAACCTTCAGTCTGCATCTACCACATGGAGTGAGACGATGGAAGGGTACACCTGAATCCTGTCTGCATCTACCACATGGAGTGAGACGATGGAAGGATCAGTCTGCATCTACAACATGAAGTGAGACGATAGAAGGGCACACCCGAAACCTGTCTGCATCTACAACATGGAGTGAGACGATAGAAGGGCACACGATCTGGAAATGTCCTACCACTTAGAGTATGGTGAATTATTGATGAAGAAGATGGATGTATTTTATGGTTCGTTAGAAGCTGTTATCCATAAAACACATTCATGTATTTGTGTTTGTCCAACTTTTAAATATCTTTCAAGAGCTATATACCTGTACTTTGTGGGGCGGCGGGGTAGCCTAGTGGTTAAAGCGTCGCTCGTCACGCCCGGGTTCGATTCCCCACATGGGTACAATGTGTGAAGCCCATTTCTGGTGTCCCCCGCCGTGATATTGCTGGAATATTGCTAAAAGCAGCGTAAAACTAAAACTCACTCACTCACTCACCTGTACTACTTAGGTTAAATCAACTGGTGTATACACATTGCTCACAATCAGGATGATTCATGGATTCGAACCATCGATTGCTGCGACTCATCTATCGACTGGGCGAACAGACATGTAACTGCAGCTGGCAATGTAGCCCGTCGGTTTGTGCAACTTTGTTCTTAATGAATCTTTCATAACAGCGTGAACCACCTTTCCAAATTTCACGTTTCCGTGACCAAATTTTGTCCGGTGAAATTCCTTGTTTTCACACACTTTTGTCATGTAGTCGAAGTCGAACAATGATCATGCTAAGATAGTTTGCTTAGGACTTTCATCGCGTGCCACCATCATCCAAACCTTTTGACACCCCAAACAGTCAAAAGGTAGCAGGTCATTCCATGTACAATACCTTAGCAGTATTACAGCAATACCACGGCAGGGGACACCAGAAATGGACCCATGTGGGGAAGCGAACCCGGGTCTTTGGCGTGACTAGCGAACGCCTTTACCACTAGGCTACCCCACCGCCCCAAATACCTGTAGAATAGATGGTGGTATGTTTATGATTTGAAGATACACATCTAATCAAACCATGTAGTGACAAATCAGAAATTGTATTCTTTTAAGAGTGAATGAGTGAGTTCAGTTTTACGCCGCTTTTAACCCTATTCCAGCTATATCACGGCGGGGGACACCAGAAATGGGCTTCACACAATGTACCAAGGTGGGGAATCGAACCGGGGTTTTCGGCGTGACGAGCGAACTCTTTTAAGAAATAATTTGTGGTTGCATGTGATAATAAACCCGCGAAGATCCTGTTTAGAATTGGTCTTCAGCAACCCATGCTTGTCGTAAGAGGCGACTAACAGAATCAGGTGGTCAGGCTCTCTGACTTGGTTGACACATGTAATCGTATCTCAGTTGCGTAGATCGATGTTCGTGAGGTTGATCACTGGAGTGTCTGGTCCAGAATATTTACAGACCGCCGCCATATAGTTGGCATGTTGGTGGGTTTGACGTTAAACAACACACAAACAAAGCACATGATACTAAGACCTATTTTGTCTGGCATTCCCTTCATGGATATTGTATAATATGAAGGGTGATGAATATTGATCTTTCTGACATTCAGTGAACCATATCTCGTCTTTAAAACACTAATGGGTGTAACATTATACAGTTTCAATGCTACAACCTTTATGTGCAACCTTGGCAAAACGATCGATAATTACTTTCCCTTTTATACATTAGTATATTTGTATAACCAGGCAAATAGGGACTAATGGTCCTTATAGATTCTGGCTGAAGTACATACTTCCTCCAAGTTACACATATCTGCAGCTATAACGGTCGATAGAATTATGATCGAAAATGGAGCGGTACCTGAAAAAGTGATGCGGCACTTAACGAACACAGGCAGTAAAACAGCCTTGGGTGGCCGCTGCTTCTGATGCATTCACATAACGTAATAAAAATAAAATACAGAAAAATAAAGTGAAATTAATTTTCTGGAGCAACTTCGTTCCTAGACTTGTAAGAGTTAAAAACTGGCCTTTGGGTCAGTATATCTCTTCTTCTTTTGGTGTATCCCCCACCGTCTCACTTCATGTTGCAGATGCAGACAGGTTTCGGGTGTACCCTTCTATCGTCTCACTTCATGTTGTATGTGCAGACAGGTTTCGGGTGTATCCTTCCATCGTCTCACTTCATGTTGTAGATGCAGACAGGTTTCGGGTGTACCCTTCTATCGTCTCACTTCATGTTGTAGATGCAGACAGGTTTCGGGTGTACCCTTCTATCGTCTCACTTCATGTTGTAGATGCAAACAGGTTTCGGGTGTACCCTTCTATCGTCTCACTTCATGTTGTAGATGCAAACAGGTTTCGGGTGTACCCTTCTATCGTCTCACTTCATGCTATAGATGCAGACAGGTTTCAGGGTGCCCTTCCATCGTCTCACTTCATGTTGTAGATGCAAACAGGTTTCGGGCGTACCCTTCTATCGTCTCACTTCATGTTGTAGATGCAGACAGGTTTCAGGTGTACCCTTCCATCGTCTCACGTCATGCTATAGATGCAGACAGGTTTCAGGTGTATCCTTCCATCGTCTCACTTCATGCTATAGATGCAGACTGAAGGTTTCAGGTGTACCCTTCCATCGTCTCACTTCGTGTTGTAGATGCAGACAGGTTTCAGGTGTACCCTTCCATCGTCTCACTCAATGTGGTAGATGCAGACAGGATTCAGGTGTACCCTTCCATCGTCTCACTCTCACATGTTGTAGAATCAGACTGATCCTTCCAACGTCTCTCACTCCATGCAGACTGACAGGTTTCAGGTGTTCTACCCTTCCAGACTGTCTCCATCGTCTCACTCCATGTTGTAGATGCAGACCGGTTTCAGGTGTACCTTCCATCGTCTCACTCGTCTCACTCAACGTCTCATGTAGTAGATGCAGACTGAGGATTCAGGTGTACCCTTCCATGACTGACTGAAGGTTGGAGGTCGTCTTACTTCATAGTGCAAATGCAGATCATGTCACAAACTTGTAAAAACTTTGTTCTTAGTAATTGCTTGGGGCTTATTGTGACTGGTACTGTATGTGGACTATACTTGTGGAAAGTAGCAATTATGTTTTTAAGGACGCGATGAATTCTTCTTTTCTTACATGACAAAGAAGATAGTCAAAAGAGCATAACTTTGTCGGTTACCTCAT